TTCCTGGCTATATGCCACGACGAACATTGAATTATATCAATTGAACATACACGATAGGAATTTGAGCATAAAATGAATATCGTCTGAAATTGAGAATTTACATTCTCTTCCAGAATCGGATGTATACTATGATGAATATAACGATATAAAAAATATATTACTTACCAAATTGGTATGAAAATTGGAATGTATGGGAGAAATATACTAGTATACATACTCTGTTCTTGTTGAGTCGTGAATTTATCAAAAAATCATCCTGTATATTTCTTTCTCATTCAACATATTATTCAGTCCCTGTAAAGAATTTCGTCTCGGAGACATGGCATCGCCGCTTTCGACAATTATTATTCGGTGCAGCGTGGTTCATTTGCCCGGCCCACCGCGATGATCCGATGAAAACAAAGAAAATGCAACGATCGAAATGCGCATCGCGCATCGCACGTTTTTTTAACGGTTCATTTCGATCGGTGGACCGACTACGCAGAATTTTTCTGGGAAAACATGTTGGGATCTTGGAAAAAAACATCAAACATTCGATCAGGATTTTCCAAGAAACGGAATGGGTAAATATTTGTGAATTATCAGTAACAATAATATTCATTAGGTACTGTAGTCTTTTGTCTTACCCAGTGCCGGATTTATACTCCCTTACGCCGGGGGCTAACTTTAACGATGCCGCTGCGCCGCCGCCAAATATTAAATTTCAATTGTCAGTTTCAAAATTCAAATAACAAATAATCCTTTTACAGCATTATGTACAACGAATCAAATTATATTTACTTCTCACGTTAAACATAACACATATTTTTTTTCAGATGGATACTAAAATACTTTTCTTGATTTTTTGATGCAGAGTCGTCAATGGCATCATCAAAATTCAGATTCAACAACATGTCACTGTTAATAATTGAAATTGATAAGCTATTAAATGTATCCTCTACCATGGAATTCCTAAGGTAGTAGTCTTCTTTAAGTTGAGAGTGACCTTTCACCACTGGCATTACTATAATCATCAGGGATAGGAAAATTCTTAGAGCTACTTCCACGTTGCAAAAAGTATCTGTGATCTTGTATTTTCGCAACCATCAACGATCTTGCATTGAATATTTCATCTCTTTTGTTTTCGGCAATTGAATTCAAATCAATCAAAACACGGGCTTCATCTTGATGACATCATCTGGCAGAGATGCAATTGAAAACAAAAATGCGAATGTAGAAGAGAAATCTTTGTAGGCTTCAGCACGAATATTTACTTCACCCACCAAATGATCGACTAGGAATACCTGGGTTCGCATTCTGGTCTGTGGTGTCAATAAAGCTTCAGTCCCAGCTTCTTCAAGAGCCAGTTTCCTCTTACGGGTTCTGACCTCCTTATAGTTGAGTTCTTCCGAGAGTAATTGTGCCTCTTTTTCGTAAAGATCGAACTTTTCCCGCAAACATTTATAAAACTTTCTCAATGAAATATCTCGGAAATATATAAACTGAGATACGTGTCCAGGCCTATGATTGAGTTTTGCAGGGACTTGCTGACTTGATCTGCTCTCTCTAATATATCATACCAGAAAACAACCAGATTTTTTCAAATTTCAATTTCAATATTCATTTATTATTAGTACCATCACCAATAATACCAACGACAACCTATTAAACACTGAACTCTGATTTTGTTTTTTGTTATTGAGTTAGACGAATCACGAAATTACCCCTACTCTACTGAGTAGATTTTCATTAAAACAGTATCTCAACCAAGTCCTTTTGATGCGGTGCCAGTGGTAGCTAATTGCGTTTGCTCCAAAAGCCAAAAGGCGACTGAAGAGGCGGCATATAAAAAGCAAGAAGCAATATAATATATTTGTCGCCTTGTCGGCGACGATCGACTGTATTGCTGCTTGCTTTTTCTCTTTTTCTCTACCGCCTCTTGAAATTGACCGCCGGGGGCTGATAGTCCCATAGCCCCCCCCCTAAATCCGGCACTGGTCTTACCTAATCACTAATCAGATATGATATGGACAAAAACCAAAATTTAGATCAAACTGATTCTCAACTGCATCAATGAATTGCAGAAGAAATATTATTTAGGCATTATTTGGTGGTCGCGAACTTATATTTGATAAGTAGATTTTTAAATGAATCAGAATTTAAAAAATAATTGAACATTTTTCAAATAACTAGACCGAGAACTAGACATAAACAATTATAAAAGTTGTGTTTTAGTTTTCGACCAATTTGGTCGAGAAACTAAAGCCAGATTTTGTAAAACGGGTTGGAGACCACCGAATATTCAACAAAAAAATAATATTTATGCCAGTTTTTTCTTAAAATACAGGAAAAACTTTATCTACTGATTAATATGAAACAAAACTCATAACCTATAATGCATTCAAAATTAAAGTTATTCACTATTTTCTGGTCTGGTAGGTATCAACAAGCACTTTTCAAACATTGCCAACAACGGACGGTTATCGTATGATTTTCTGTGCGAATAGCTCAACTTTTTTTCGCACTCTGTCAGTGCATCTACCCTACCTACAACCTACAGGCTGTTTTAAAAAAGGTGACCCCACTGACCCCCCTTGCTAGGGTAGGTAGACCACTGCAAAATAAGTTAGGTTTGTTCAGTCATAGATTAAAGAAACAAAGATGTCGTAACGGCATTCTTTTTCAATATAGGTGTAGGACGTAAGTACAAGGTGATGTTGAAAAACATATTATTTACACATGTCTTGAAATTATGTCGAAACTACTGGCAAAATTATAATAAGGTCTTGTAAGCTGACACATCGGCTGAATTTGTTTTCATATCTGACTCTCATAGAGGGCGCTAGTTACACTCCGTGTGGTGAGAATATTCTACCTGCATTTATAGATCAGGTTTATTCAATGTTCAAGGATGTTCGAATTGTAGTTTCAATATAAATACAACCACAAAGTGATCCATTTGTTATTTGGACCAGGTATCAGCCGTAATAGCAAAGAAAAAAGGAAGAAGTAGACAATATTAGGTGAGTGAGCATATCAACAATAATAATAGAGATTTCATTATTTCTCTCCATATTCCACTGTGTTTGGTTCGGTGATCAAATGAAGGTAAATAATATCGTTGTGTGAGACAAAAAAGTATTGCTGCCTGATCAAAACAAAAATATCCAACTATAATATGGTGTATTTATATCTCCAGCATGGGTATGAAATGCCAAATCTGCCGAAATCAGGAACAAATCAGGTATGCGTCCCAACCCAAATAACTGACCATAACAATGATGATTATTCTTGATGACCTAGTACGTCCTTTTTAGTTCCTAGGAGCTGAAGTTCGACTTGTTGCCTATTAACATATCTTTTTCTGCAACCGACACAAAAGTCGTCCATTTTGATACCAAAATTAGCTCCCAAATTGACGTTTCTATTACTGACACAAATATAGGTATGTTGCTAAGCAACATATTTAGTTCCTAGGAACTAAAGTTGAATTTTAGTTCCTAGGAGCTAAAGTTGAACTTTAGCTTCTAGGAACTAAAAAAGATCTACTGGACGTCATCAAGAATAAACAACATTGTGACGGTTGGTTATTTGGGTTGAGACGCATACCTGATTTCAGCAGATTTGGCATTTCATACCCATACTGGAGATATAAATACACCTTATTATTGTTTAGTATTGGAATTATAAACATCTCAGTTAAGTATTTTTGTTTTGATCAGGGAAGCCTTCAAGATTCAAATACTTGCTTGATCTGTATATTTCATTCGTTATTCTCGAGATGGATAACTTGTTTTTGAATAATCACGGCAAGCAATAGTTTTTTTGTCTCAAACAACGATATTGTTTAGCTTCATTTGATTATCAAGTCAAACACAGTGTAGTATGGAGAGGAATAAATAATCACTATTATCATTGTTGATATGCTCACTAACCTAACATTTTCCACGTCTTTTTCCTATAGCTGGCACTGGCGCGGTATTTGCCATTAGAGCACCTGGTCCATACACAAATATGTCACTCTGTGGTTGTATTTATATTGAAACTACAATTAGAACATCCTAGAAAACCTAACCTGCTGTTAATGCAGGTAGAATATTCTCACCACATGGATTATTTGTCAATATTTGTTGCATTGCATACATATGGCACGGCATTGGTGGTTACTGCACATGTTTATTTGAGTTAATTGTTTCGGTTGCAGAAAAAATAGTATGTTTCATTCGGATCAAAAGTGACTTTGTTCGACTCGCAAATTTTGCTTTCGCTCGGCTTCGCTAAACGCTCCGCCTCGCAAATGCAAAATTCGCTTGTCAAACAAAGTGTCACTTTTGATCCTAATAAAACAATCTACTAATGTTTGTGTCAGTAATAGAAACGTCAATTCAAGAGCTAATTTTGGTATTAAAATGGACGACTTTCGTGTCGTTTGCAGAAAAAAGAAGTTTTTGTTCATTTGGGATCCTCTTGAAAATTCCGAGATTTTTCATAGTTTCAGGTGACACCCTGTAGCGATTTTATATAAAGAACTTCATGTTTTAAAGAAAAATGAGATTATAGCTGCAGGACTGGGCTAGCGAACAGTGTGATCCGAATTCAAATTGTCCAAAGCAGGAAAAAAGCTATACATATTTCAACAGGGGCGTATTGTATATCGAAATTGACTCTGCAACCTATATAGGCACTTTTTCAACAGAAACAAGTTATTTCTAGAAGAAGATCGACGCATATGAATTCCTGCAATTATTTTTCACTTGTAGATACGTAGACGCGGTTTTACGTAGAAAGTCTCCTCATTTTGAGGGTCTCAAAACGCCTATACTTTAAGTTGCTATTATCACACTGTTGAATATCATATAACGATATCACAAACAATAAATACTTTATATCGATTCTGCATACACTCAAGTAGGTATTACAATTTTTCTTGAACATTATGAAACTAATTCGAAATATTGTTCTCATTTTTTTCATGATTCATTCCAAAATTTCCAAACAACAACTCTATGGTATATACTCACAGTCTAGAACAGCAAAACATGTAAATCTGACCAGGATCCGAGTGTCCCTAAGAATCTCTTATCACATCTCAGGTAGGTCGACAGTGAAACACCTCTCTCTTCTCTGTTCTCTTGAGTTAAGACCAAGTCAACGCACTGAAGTTGTTTGTTGTTGGTGTAGCGACAATAGAAGAGCCAATACCACAGCCGAAACGACACTAAAATAAGGCAAACATTTACATTTTATGGTGTGTTCGTGAAGAAACTCGGCGATAAGACTGGAAATTTCAGAGCAACTTGAAAATGGTTATTTTTTTACTACACTCACCGAAAAAAAAAAGCGGCCACCAAAAAATTTAGTCAAATTATTCGCCCTGTAACTTTTTGAATTCTCGTCCGATTTTTGTGAAATTTCGACCAAATTGTATATTCATGTTTCGGAATGTTAGCCTGGATATTAGGTTCTAAGAAAAGCTGATGGCTTGATCATTATACAGGGAAGAACAAAAGTTACTCTTTCCTTATCTTCCTAACGCTCTGTGGAAAAGGTTAGTGGTTAAAATTGAGTTTATTATGTTTTGGATTGGAGTATGATCCATTCTCAACAACGGTTTTTGTTTCACGTCGATAACTACATTTTAAGGAAAGATACAAGTGTTTTTAGGAAGTATGTTTTTTTTATAAACAATAATTCAGAACCATTCTCCAACCTGCTTCTGCTTCATCATGTTTTGAATTGAAGAGTACCTGATCCTTCATCGTCCCTTCTTAACACAATGGTTCTTGATTCACGTCAATATCTTCTTTTTGAGAGAAGATACAAGTGTTGAGGAGAGTATGGAAAAAAAACAATAATTCAGAACCTATAGAACATCCAAACTCTGTAGGTTCAAGCAGAATTTCAGGCAGTTCTTCAAGACTACTTGAGAAATTCGATCTACTGGATGCCACGGCGGTTGTGAACTGTGATAAACTCCAGGGCATACTGGCTATTGACTACAGGTCTGGTTTTTGTTTATTTTCTGTAATAAGGGTTTTATCCGGTAAGTGCTATGAAAATGAGGTAGAAATAATAAGTTTAATTCATTCTTCAAGTTGTTATTCAATGATTTGTGTAGATTCTGATTATTGTTAATAAAAATTTAAAAATACCATACTTCCTTAAAACACTTCTCTAAAAAATAATATATTGACGTGAATCAACTACAATTGTATTCAGAAGGGAGCACACTTTAATCCGAATCATAATGAAGCCACGTTTAACCACTGAATTCTGTCTCAGGGCGTTAAGAAGTTAAGAAGTGGTAACTTTTGTTTTTCCCTGTATAATGATCAAGTCATCAGCTTTCGACTGAAACTAATATTCAGGCAACGATATGATCAAAATTTTACAAAAATCGGACAAGGATTAAAAAAGTTACAGGATGAACAATTTGGGCATATTTTTTGGTGGCCGGTTTTGTTGCCGGTGTATACAGTCTGTCCAAGATAAGGTTGCACAGCATGGGGATCTCGGAAACAGTAGGAGATACGAAGTCGGTTAAATGGGGAAAAAGTTGCGCATTCAGAGCCTTCGAAAATTTTCAAAATTGTTTTAAGTTTTCCAGTTATATCGAAAAAAGTGAAATTTTGGAATATATATTTTATTTTTTTTCTCCGTTATAATTAGAGATACAGAAATACTGAAAATACTTTTTCATAGCAACTTTTGATGACGTTTAACGTGGTGATACCGATTTTTCTATGCGACGTTTCGTATTCGTAGAACCAGCACCAACTTTTGTTTCTCGAATACGGTCCTGATAATTCTTTCACAGATTCTGAAAGCTTTTTTTATTATGAATTCAACAATGTACACCTTAGTAGAACTTTTAACTCAAACCATGTTTATAATGATCCTTTTATACATAAATAATGATTGACAACATAATTCGTTCGAGAAATTAACTGGAATGTTTTATTTTTGGACATAAATAATAGTACCTTCTGAAAACGGACCCTCTTATGACGTAGAAACCTCATATCGCCATAGTTAAAAGAAAATACCAAACGCCACACGGAGACTGAGGCAACTGATATATTACTTCTTTCAACTGTGATCTCGCGCCAATTCACTCTGTCAGAAATCATGTACCATTCATCTCTGTCTGGAATAGTCTTGTTTCAGTATTAGGGTTTTGACGTCACATCAGCGCCTCGTTTTCAGAGGTCCGATAAATCGGGGATTTCAATAATTTTTTATAAAACGTAGGTCACAGCAAGAAACGGTTTGCGGTGGTGAGCTAGTTTGGGTGAGTTCTATCGAATTATGAAATAAAAATTTTTTGTGATATAAGCCCATTGAAGGGGCAAGTGGATGAAGGGGTCAAGTAACATTTTCTGATAATATTCGGTTATGTCATGGAAGAAGGTGTTACATGCATAATGCATATGTAACTTGCCCTGTCAGGATTTGTTTCTATTCTTCATATCTGAGTAGATACACAGTGGCAGAAGGAGCTATGTTACACTAAACATCAAGAACACAATGGAAGAAGGAGCTATGTGCCCATTATTTACATGTCAGGAAGTGGAAAAAGTGGTTATGTACGCATGAATCATATGTATATCAAAAAATGATATGATAGAAAAATGCGATAAATCATAAAAAAAACAACCTGAAACTATTCCTCACAATTGCATAAATCGAATTATTAAACTCGCTTTCATTAAAAAATGCCAGCTAACTCTACTAAAACCTATTTTTCTCACAAACTCATATTTGTAACATAACTCCTTCATCCACTTTCCCCTTCAATTGTTAACGGGCATAATAGTTATTTATGTATCAAGGGCGTAAAGTAGGCGTTTATGGCCTGTGGCGTGAATAATGGCCCGATGGCGCTAGCCGAGGGCCATTACACGCTGAAGGCCATAAACGCATTTCACGCACGAGATACATACAAAATTTTATGCACTAGTGGTTTATTTTCTGACTCATAAGTAATGACTATAGATTTCGACAAACTAATATTCCCCAGAATTTAATTTGTTACGTATTAATTCAGTAATCAAGAGAAGCGTGATGTTCATGGATGATTTACATAAGAAAATTATCGTACGAATATTGCAATTATCGTAATAGTAAAACTCTTTCGGCTCTAGAAGAGATTTATTCTTCAGAGTTTTACAATATGCATACCCAGTATATAAACCTAACTTATTTAATTTTGAGGTTGTCAATCAATCTGATGGTTGTTGTCAATAGCAATACATCCAATAAACGAGCTGAATTGTCATTCTTTGCTGGATATATTAGAGTCTAGTCTCATGAATTGATATGTGGATATAAGGTGACTGAGAACAGCGGGCGGTGAAGTGCACTTTACGGCCCGTGGGCCATAATGAGTCCGCGGGTGGTAAAGTGCGACTTAACGCCCGCAAAACCGGGCGGTAAAGTGCACTTTACGGCCCGCTAGTGCATTAAAAACTATAAGTTATTCTAGTCGTAAGGTATTAATAATAATTATCAGCATTTAGGCATTAGTCGGCAATATCAGCAATTTATCGGCATTAGTCGGCATTACGGCAATAAACTAGCATTTATTGCCGAAACTGGCGATAGGTGTACCTCGTGAACAACTAAGAACGGCTGTCATAACTATCATTCTTTCAACTTTGACAGTTATATCTTCCGTTGACGAAAAGCTATCATGTTGCGGTTTTCGTTGATCTGTTGAGATTTAGTTTCTCTATTTCATCGTATAATGATATGCATACCATTAGATTTATTCTATCTCAAACGTGCCATTCTTAGTTGTTCACCCTGTACAAAATTTTGGAGCGTGTCCCCCCTCGCCTGTACCAAATATCATTTCGATGCATCTGATATTCTAGAAGTTATGACTCGCCTAATTAGATTCGTTGACACCCGGTATAGCTCATTCCAAATTTCATTTATCTCTATCCTGTTACATCCGGTATACGAGTGAAGGATGATGTTTTATGAAATAACGTTAGAATGGATTCAATAATCAGGTCGAAAAATACCAAAATTTTCATTTTTTCGAAATACTACCACGCACTAACAATATTTTAATACAACGCATATGTATGTCTTTGTCCTTCTGAGTAAAACCATAACAATTCGCAATCATAATACCTATACATCCTAGCCGATAAAACAAAGGAAGTCTCACCTCTTTTCCTGCCAAAACATTACATAACATTCCCAATAGATAACATAAGATTCCAAAAATAATCGCGAGTCATTTTTCAAGTTTACCCTAGAAAACTAGATAGTAAATACAACCACCAACCTTACACTCGATTTGTCACCAGTAAAAATACTAAAAACGCCTTTTGTTTTGGTTCCACAAATTCAGCTGACTTGAGTTTACCAACTGTACTGCAGTAGGGAAAACTGAGCAGCTGATAGGGAGTATGTGGGAAAATCAATATTACTCGACCTGTTTTCTCTTTCTCATTCATCCTCGTACACACTCCATTCGGCAACACAAGGGGGTGGAAAAAGTACTCACACAAACGCATACATCGAATCAAGATACCAATCAAGAATTATCTCGGTCTTGGTCACTCTGTATCCGTCTGTATCTTGCATTTGTCAATCAATTTAAATTTCATGTACACTGTGTCCAATTTTGGTTCAGACTGCACTGGATCTCAGCTATTATTGAAGATAGAGACATGTGGTTTTCGCGACCCTGTATCACTTTTATGTAAAATTGTCAAAGTCACAAACAGAAATATGCCAACTACTCTTGTTCCTGAAATACAGGGCGAAAACGAAAATGTTCACTTTTGGAGATGTTATAATTTCTCAGGCCCCGTATAAGATGGAAAAAAAAACTGCCTATAATAGATATTTCTACATAAAAATCAGTGTCGTATTCTGATTTTTTTTTCAAAGCACTGTTTTCAAGATTGGGCACAAACTTTTTTTAACGTAAATTTTTTGCAATTTTTTTCCTAAATACACTGATATATCACAACCTAATCTATATTACATTTTATCTTTAAAAATCAGAAAAATCCATATCTATGTTAGTTTTTTTAATAGTGGGCCATGAATTCTTCCACACATGCATTAATCATTCCAGAATTACGTCATTTGACAGGTTGCTGAGGGGCAAACATTGTATTTTGTCAAGATTTGTCATATAAAACCAGAATTAGTGAGATCGTTTCCCTTGGAATCCGAGTTGGAACCAGAATAAAT